CTAGAATAATCCAGAGTACTGTAGTTTATCTAGAAGTTTGGTTAAATAAGTATATATAAAAACTAAAAATCTATATGGTACAGACATGAATGAATGTGTTACAGTGAAGGTATTTTCCACTCCCATGGAGCTGAGGAGGAATAGTGGGTCTCATGTAACTGACCTGATCTGTTACAATGTCAGGTGGAGGTAGGGTGAGGGATTAGTGGTCTCATATTACTGACCTTCTGATGCAACGTCAGGACACCCATTGTTGGGTGGGGGATTAGTGAATCTCATGATCTGAAGATGTCTTGAATAAAGATGAAAGATTAATTATTTTTGAGGGAGATTATGGTAAGTGTAAGTATAAATGAGCAACATTGTATCCCTTCAACATTACGTAACAACATTTTAAACTATGCAGTAACAAAGAAGAAAGTTGTAGGTGATTAGAGAGATGGAGTGTAAAGTAGTCGTAACATATGCTCCTCAACAACTGTTATTAAACTCGCTACCACACAGGTACACACACACCCACAAATTTGTCAAACAATAAGATCCTCATTCCTTATGCTTGCTGTCTTATTTCCTGTTTTGTTTTTGTGCGTGTGAGCGAGAGAGAGAGAGAGAGCAGAGAAGCAAGTGAGAGGGAGGCAAGAGAGAGAGGATGTGGGGTGACTGTGGTGTTGGAGAGTGTGTGTGGAGTGATGGAGGTATGTGTGTGTGTGTGTGTCATGGGGTGATGTGTGTGTGTGTGATGGGGTGTGTGTGTGTGTGTGTGATGGGGTGTATGTGTGTGTCATGGAGGTATGTGTGTGTGTGTGTGTGATGGAGGGTATGTGTGTGTGATGGGGTGTATGTGTGTGTGTGTGTGTGTGTGTGTGTGTGTGTGTGTGTGTGTGTGTGTGATGGGGTGTGTGTGTGTGTGTGTGTGTGATGGGGTGTATGTGTGTGTGTCATGGAGGTATGTGTGTGTGTGTGTGTGATGGAGGTATGTGTGTGTGTGTGATGGGGTGTATGTGTGTGTGTGATGGGGTGTATGTGTGTGTGTGTGTGTGGGGTGTATGTGTGTGTGTGTGTGTGTGTGATGGGGTGTATGTGTGTGATGATGGAGGTATGTGTGTGTGTGGAGGTATGTGTGTGTGTGATGGAGGTATGTGTGTGTGTATGTGTGTGATGGAGGTATGTGTGTGTGTATGTGTGTGATGTGGGTGTGTGTGTGTGTGTGATGGAGGTATGTGTGTATGTGTGATGGGTATGTGTGTGTGTGTGGGTGTGTGTGTGTGTGTGGAGGTATGTGTGTGTGTGTGAGTGATGGAGGTATGTGTGTGTGTGTGGTGGTGGGTATGTGTGTGTGGTGGTGGAGGGATGTGTGTGTGTGTGGTGGGTATGTGTGTGTGTGGTGATGGGTATGTGTGTGTGTGAGTGATGGAGTGTGTGTGTGTGTGATGGGGTGTGTGTGTGTGAGTGATGGAGGTATGTGTGTGTGTGATGGAGGTATGTGTGTGTGTGTGTGTGTGTGATGGAGGTATGTGTGTGTGTGTGATGAGGTGTATGTGTGTGAGTGATGGAGGTGTGTGTGTGTGATGGAGGTATGTGTGTGTGTGTGTGTGTGTGATGGAGGTATGTGTGTGTGTGTGTGTGTGTGTGGGGGTATGTGTGTGTGTGTGATAATAATAATATGTAATAATAATTAACGGTTTATTGAAGAGCTTGGCAGCCAGAGGCTGAAAATATACAGTTACATATTTGGGGAATGGGTTACGAATTACAAATAATATACAAGTGACATAAGTGACACAAATAAGACTATATAACTTAGATGGGGATCAGCTCAAACTACAGTTCATTTCAACATAGTGACAGTGTAGGGAGCAGTGTTTACTGGGGTGAATACACTGATTTATTACATGTTATTGATAATTTTTACAATGGTTGGGACTGGGCTGTTCTTATAGCGATCAGTTCGTGCGTATGGGCTGGATGCGGTTGTGGTGTGAACAGCAATTCTCGGACAGGGGATCTCAGGTGGTAGTAGGGGCGGTGTCGGGGATGGTGTAGAAGCTTCTTACCAAATTTGCAGATGAGGCCGTGGTGATGGTCAGTGAAGTCGAAAGGGTCAGTGTGTTGGAGCTTCTTGATATGTGGAGTAGGAAGGGAGAGAATAATCTTGCATGCCCTCTTTGCACTTTTTCTAGGTGTTTACGTTGTGTGGCATTTAGGGGAGAAGACCAGGTGGGGGAGGCATAGGTGAGCTGGAGTATGAATGTTGTGTATACACTGGGAGCTCGTGTGTGTGTGTGATGGGTATGTGTGTGTGTGTGTGTGTGGTGGAGGTATGTGTGTGTGTGTGTGTGTGTGTGTGTGTGGTGTGTGTGGGTGTGTGTGTGTGTGGTGGGTGATGGGTGTGTGTGTGTGTGTGTGTGTGTGATGGGTATGTGTGTGTGTGTGGTGGGTATGTGTGTGTGTGTGATGGGGTGTATGTGTGTGTGTGTGATGGGTATGTGTGTGTGTGTGTGATGGGGTGTATGTGTGTGTGTGTGTGTGTGATGGGGTGTATGTGTGTGTGTGTGTGTGTGATGGGATGTATGTGTGTGTGTGATGGGGTGTATGTGTGTGTGTGTGTGTGATGGGGGTGTGTGTGTGATGGGGTGTGTGTGTGATGGGGTGTACTGTGTGTGTGTGTGTGATGGGGTGTATGTGTGTGTGTGTGTGTGTGATGGGGTGTATGTGTGTGTGTGTGTGTGATGGGGTGTATGTGTGTGTGATGTGTATGTGTGTGTGTGATGGGATGTATGTGTGTGTGTGATGGGGTGTGTGTGTGATGGGGTGTGTGTGTGTGTGTGTGTGTGAGATGGTGTGTGTGATGGGTGTGTGTGTGTGTGTGTGTGTGGGGGTGTGTGTGTGTGTGTGTGATGGTGTGTGTGTGTGTGTGTGTGATGGGGTGTGTGTGTGTGTGTGTGTGTGTGATGGGGTGTGTGTGTGTGTGTGGGGTGTGTGTGTGTGTTGGGTGCATGTGTGTGTGATGGGGTGTGTGTGTGTGTGTGATGGGGTGTGTGTGTGTGTGATGGGGTGTATGTGTGTGTGTGATGGGGTGTATGTGTGTGTGTATGGTGTATGTGTGTGTGATGGGGTGTATGTGTGTGTGATGGTGTGTGTGTGTGTGTGTGATGGGGTGTATGTGTGTGTGTGTGATGGGGTGTATGTGTGTGTGTGTGTGGGATAGGGTGTGTGTATGTGTGTGTGATGGGGTGTATGTGTGTGTGATGGGGTGTGTGTGTGTGTGTGTTTGTGATGGGGGTGTGTGTGTGTGTGTGTGGGGTGTATGTGTGTCTGTATGTGATGGGGTGTATGTGTGTGTGTGTGATGGGGTGTATGTGTGTGTGTGTGTGATGGGGTGTATGTGTGTGTGTGTGTGTGTGATGGAGGTTGTGTGTGTGTGATGGGTGTGTGTGGATGGGTGTGTGTGTGTGTGTGGGTGTGTGTGTGTGTGATGGGTGTGTGTGTGTGTGTGTGTGGGATGTGTGTGTGTGTGTGTGTGTGATGGGGTGTGTGTGTGTGTGTGTGTGTATGTGTGATGTGTGTGATGGGGTGTATGTGTGTGTGTGATGGGGTGTATGTGTGTGTGTGATGGGGTGTATGTGTGTGTGTGATGGGGTGTATGTGTGTGTGTGATTGTGTGTGTATGTGTGCGTGTGTGATGGGGGGTGTGTATGATGTGTGTGATGGGGTGTATGTGTGATGTGATGGGTGTATGTGTGATGTGTGTGATGGGGTGTATGTGTGTGTGTGATGGGGTGTATGTGTGTGTGTGATGGGGTGTATGTGTGTGTGTGATGGGGTGTATGTGTGTGTGTGATTGTGTGTGTATGTGTGCGTGTGATTGTGTGTGTATGTGTGCGTGCGCGCGTGCGTCGTCCACATACAGGGTGGTGAAATGCAACCTAGAGTGGCAGCATTATTTTAGTGCTAAGGTGCAAGCACTGCTTGCTCCCTCTCGCTTTCAGCTGTCGCCGCTGGCTAGTCCTCTTGGTGAACAGAGAAGCAATTTGCATAAGTCTTCCCCTGCCAGTACACAGCCTCCTCACCATCAAGACTCCTGCTGTGCCTCCAGGTGGCAACACACGGTAACTGGGTGCCTCGAGGGCCCAGGCTAGATCAGCACGGGATCGCGGAGTAGCAGTGGGCCCCAGAGGGACGGCACATAGGCCCACTGGCATGTGGACAAAGCCTGGCGCCTACCAACCACTGCCCCGCTGCTTTTATGAAACAGGAGCCATTACAATAGCTACTTCATTCCTAAGCAGTATCTTCAAGTATTAAGGGATTCACTCGTCCTAACTTGGAGTACTGCTCTCATATCTGGGGTGGCTCTCTTCTGTCCAACTATTAGATAGGGTGGAATCAAGGGCATTTTGTCTTGTGAACTCTCCACCTTTAGTTGATAATCTTTCTTCCCTTTCTCTTCATTGCAATGTTGCTTCACTCTCTCTCTGTCTTTTAATGGTACTTTAACCTTAGCGGTCTTGCCTGCGGTGCCCATCCTTTCTCTGGATGTCGGTCACACTAGAATAACTCGTTATAGTACATCCTTCTTTCCTGACACAGCCAAACTGTGGAATGCTCTGCCTTCTGTGTTTCCATGCTCTTACAATCTGTCTCACTTCAAATAGATGGTTTTCCAGCATCTTCGTGGTGTAGATTAATATATAATATTTTTCTTTTATATTTTTAATTTCTGTTTACTCTTATTTTTTTTGCCCTCTAGGCCCCATTATGGGTCAATGACCTGTTCCCAGGTGGGCTATTCTCAGTAAAAAAAGTGGGGGGGAGGGGGGGAAATGAACTGAAGATTATATCAAGGCATTTCGTCCAGCATTTCAATTTATAAAGGCTGATTAAGTAAAAAGAAATTGAGGGGGGAGACTGAACGCAAACGTAATAATTATAAGGCATAGAATTTATTTTTTAAATTTTCATTACCTGCTGTAATCTGTTATTATATTTTTACTTTCTAGATCTGGACAACGGAGATGGAGGTTGGAAAGGCTCAGAAAAGCTTGAGCAATTCTATACGTACATACAATGCACTTGCACGCCAGCTTGAGCTCCCTAGTGACTACGAAGTATCCTCAGCCATTGTTAGTGACATTACACAGCACTGGCAAACTGTGTTACTAAATGAAATGCGTACCAGAAAAAAAAATGCCAAGCTTGATACTTACCAAAGTCAAAACCAGCAAAGACAAAAAGAAGATGAAAAGAACATGGTAAGTCTTACTTTTTTCATTTATTGGCAAAGCATGATATTCTTCAATTGAACTTAATAACTCTCCTCTCCAATAAGGGAAGATCATTAGGTGTGAGTGATAAGTCACAGATGAAAAGACAATAGTACCAGCGTCTCAACAAATACAGTAAGCCTTCGATAACTTGGCACATATGGGGCTTTGGCCTTGCTGAGTTATCCCAAATTCCGACTTATCGGGGCACTTTCCCACTCCTACAAAAATACACCAATAAAACATTAGCAACCCATATATGTTTACATGTAATTACTAATTGTAAAAGAAGCCTTTTTTTTTTCTAAAGTACAGTTTTTGTGATATAGTCCAGAATGCGACGTCTAGCTTTATGTAAATGCCTAGCATTAACTCGCCAGGCCAACATACCGGCAATTAAAACATCTAATAATTACTTAAATACGTAATATTAGGAGGACACATCGCTACCTGGCATTTAATTGCAATTCTCAAAACCCCCTCCTGCACCCTCCATCAAACGCATTGCCACCGTCATCTCTTGCCCTTGAGTGTGCAGTAAACAAATGTCAACTCTCGGGGGGTGGAGGATGTCGACATCACATTCTGGACTATATCACAAAAACTGGTTTTTAGAAAGGAAAAAAAAACGTTTTTTTGTTCAATCCAGAATGCGACGTCTCGCTTGAATACACGAGCAGGAGGTGGAGAGGGAGGTGACGTTGCATACAAGGCTCCGCTATCTTAGGTCCAGATTATGATTATAAACTGTTTAGAACATTTTCCAATATTAGGAACATTTACCAGAAGGTAAAATGTTAATTTACATATCCCAATGAGGATACTCACTTTATTCTGATGAGGAAGAATGTCCTGGTTGTGGAGATTGACTAGGTGGGGGAGGGGACCCCAGTACCACCACATGTGAAGCATCTTTCAGAAATAGATGAAGAAAGCTGTTTTTAAAGATCTCCAAAAGCCCACTTCTTTGATCTGACTGAGGCTCATATGCAGCAGAAAGGCCACAGACCCTGCATATTTCCTGGTGTCATGTGCCAAAAATTTCTTGCCAGGGTCTGCTTGATTCACTAACTGAGATAAATATTTTGTCATTTGACTAGGAGATAATTTCTTACCATCCTGTGATGAAAATTCATAGGGGCCTCGATTAGGGAATCTGGTTAACCATTCTTGAAGATTCCTAACTGGGCACATTATATGAGGAACCATTGTCTCATCCATTAGCCATTTTATCCTGATAGGTTGAGCTTGAAAATCCTCCCTTTCATTTTTTCTTAGGATCTCCGTAGGAAAAAGGGTGACACCTTCCTCAGAAAATACCAATAATGATAGATTATTGGAAATTGAAATCAGTTCACTGATTCTCATACCTGTTGCTATTGAGAGAAGGAAGGCTGCCTTGTGGACCAATCTGTCCCTGTTCAGATTTATATTGTAATTAGGCCCCATAAGAAATTTAGTAACTTTTTCTAGGTGGGATGCTCTTGGGATGAGGGGGTCTCTGAATGAAAAAGGACGATCTGAGCATTTGATAAGTCCTTGGGTTCAAAGTAATATTGAAACCCCACACCAGAGGGTCAACCAATGCTGATTTATAAGATGCAATCGTCAATCCTTGAAGGCCTTTAACTCTGAACAGAAATTCTAAAAATTTTAACACCACTGTTTCCGACAATGTGATTGGAGTCGTTAACCTGATAATTTGTTGAAAAAGTTTCACAGCTTTCTCATATTGCATAGAAGTTTAGGGTCTATGACCTGCTATCACTTGGTTAATAATATTGGAATTACCCAACAATGTATTTAAACATCTTTTGAGAAACTCCAAGCATGAAGTGCCAAGGGTATTTCGAACTGAGGGTGCAGTACCTGGTCTAGACATCCTTGTGCCAATTGTAGTGGATGCGGGCACCAGTCCAACAGATCCAGACACCACGGTTGTAGGATCCAATATGGTGCAATTAAGCGGACCTTGCCTTGGAAGGATCTGAGTTTGTGAATCACTTTGAGTAACATTTTCACAGGTGGGAACAGATAGATTGAATTCCAACGGTTCCAATCTATGAGTAGAGCATTTCCTAAAAGATTCAATCATTCCAGAGATGCATAATTTGGCATCTTGTGATTGTTTTGTGAGGCAAAGAGATCTATTTGTGGAGTTCCAAACTTCCTCAATAGATTCTTGAGCTTCGATATCTTTTGGGACTATTCTGTTTCCGTCGATACTGGCCTGAGACGGGACAACACATCTTCCCAATTTTTTTGTACAACCGGTATGTGAGTTGCTTTGAGGTAAAGTGTTTGTGTTACACAAACTTTGAAAAAAAATTTCTGACAGTTTTAGAAGGGACCAAGATCTGGTTGTGCCTTGATGATTGAGAAAAAATACTGCTGTTTTGTTGTCCATGGCAAACAGGATCGTCATAATTTTTAAATTTGGGTTTGCCAACAAAAAGAATAGGACTACTGCTAATTCTTTTATGTTTGTGTTTGTCCCAAAGGGAGTTGCTCCAATTCCCTTGACGAATGGTATCCTCATCCTATCTCGGGCGCATCCGTACAAACGACCAAGTCTGGTAGAGGGGGAACCCAGGGAGATGAACCGATTAGATTGTCCAAATTTGTCCACCATGACAGATGATTCTTGATCTGAATAGGGAGAGAAGAAGCAATTTTTTTTTTCTGTGAAGCAACTTCGACCCCAGATGAGTTTGTTGGAACTTCTATGGTGGCAAAATTCAACAGACCCAGTTGTTTTTCCCAATCATGACAAGAAACCTCTTGCTTTACACAAATGGCTTCTACTTGGTTTATCACATTTGTTACCTTTGCTTCTGGTAGATTGACTGACTGCTGATTGGTGTCCCAATGAAGACCTAACCCATCCAATTTCTGACATGGTAGCAGATTTGATTTGACCTGGTATATCTTTAATCCTAGGTTTTGAATTGGTACTAGTGTACGTTGGGTCTCCCTTTGACAGTCTTTGAAAGAGTTTCTCACTATCAGCCAATCGTCTAGATAAGCAAAAGTTTTTGTGCCCTCCTTCGCAAGGATCTCCCTGGAGATGTTTGCCAGTTTTGTAAACACTTCTGGCACAATTGTTAGGCCGAATGACATCACCGTGAATTGATAACTTACATCCTTCACTGCAAACACTAGAAACTTTCTGTACCTTGGAGCAACAGGCACGTGATAATAGGCATCTTCGAGATCCACTTTTGAGATCCAAGCATTGGGCGGAAGTAGATGCCTCAGATGATCGTAAGTGTGCATTTTAAAACTTCTTTTGGAAATGAACTTGTTCAGGACGGAAAGATCTAAAATCCACCTCAATTTGTCGCTGCCTTTCCTGGGACTGGGAACAGGTGAGACATGAAACACTTCTCTGACTGCAACAGTTCTATCACACCTCTGTTTAACAGTTGAATTACAAATTCTGTGAGTAAGGGGGTTGGTTCTGACCCCTTTTTGATAACACTAGCGGAGGACGCCTCAACCAAGTCCATGTGAGGCCCCCTGTACAGTGAATATGGAATCCCTTGTAGCAGCAAAACATCTGTCTACTTCTGAACTGTCCCACTAGACGACCCAGCTGTCTGTCTTCATTGGAAAGGAGTGATCGCTGATTTGGTGGAATAAGATCTTCCACTTCTGAACAAACGGCCACCTCTACTACGTCTTGAATTGTTCCCTCCTCTAAAGTTTCCTCTAGGACAGTGGTTCTCAACCTGGGGGCCATGGCCCCCAAGGGAGCCACCGCGAGCTGTTATAAATTGTACGTTTCCAAATAATGTTGGGAATCTGAATTAAACAAAACTTGTATTACTTATTTTGACTTGGCAGAAGAGAATTTTCATTCTTTTTTTGTCATTTTGTTTAATCATAACGACAATACAATTTTAATATTTACATACTCCGGTGCTATTTTTTTTTTTTTTTTACGGATTATTTAAGATTTCACAGGTCCAGTCCATGTCTGTGTGACAGGCGCTGGACCGAGCTGCTGAACTGACTTGTTCAGTAAGTGTCCGTGTGTCATCCATTTTCAAGTGGTGATAGGACCGAATGATCTCAGTCTGGCCTGGGAAACCATCACGAAAACAGTGGAGTGTATTGTCTCTGAACCATATATTGTGTTTGAGCTTGACTCAAGCATAATATACTCCATAATTGGTGTTACTTATTTTGTTTCATAATTCATGTGGTCGCTGCTTTACGTGTGTGAAATCTTTGTACACTTTCTTTATTAATTATTTCCTTATTTATTGGTGTCATTGTTGTTCTTACTCATTCTTTACTTATATAATCCTACCATTTTTAGTGCTAAATTGGTATGACTCACTATTCTTCTCATTCTTCCAAGTTGGGCAGTGCTTGTCAAAGGAGGCGTGTTCTTGCTTACAGGAAGTACACTTCAGCTTGCTAGCTTGAGTGTGAATGTTTACCTGTGTGCATGTTTGTATGATCATGAGGTGTGACATGGAGATATAGTGAATGGGTGTGTGTGTGTGATGGCCCTAACTCTTGTCCTATTTATCTGTCCTTCTTTATCACTTGTCTGTTTGTCTGTTCTGAGAAAATGAAAGACCACGAGGATGTTGAAAATTCCTCCAAGGCTTAATGGGATAAAAAGATAACTTCCGTCTGCCTTTCATTGAAAAAAAAAGAATATATATATATATATATATATATATATATATATATATATATATATATATATATATATATATATATATATATATATATATATATATATATATATATATATATATATATATATATATATATACACACACACACACACACACACACACACACACACACACACACACACACACACACACACACACACACACACACACACACACACACACACACACACACACACACACTGTACAGTCATGAGCCATTAACGTCCAAATCAACAACGTCCGACGATATATGTAATGCGTTTCAAAACTGTGGCGCTTGGGACCACCACAACCCCTGAGGAGAGACACGATGATCCTCCCCATACTGGCCAGATATAAGGAATATGCTTCCTTCCTTAGGCTTTTTTTAAGCATTTACCTCCAGGTGTAATGTTAACCTACATCTATTGAGGATAAAAATTTTCACCTACAAATTGACAATAACACATTTGCAGTAATCAGACATATCTAGTTGCTTCAAAGAGTTATGTAAAAATGTCTCAACGGATATGTGAAAAGGTGTATTATCTTCATTTTCATCTCAAAAGTAATTGCCTGTCTCTTTTCGGCACCACCGCACTATCACTTCACGCTTCAGCCAATTAAATACGATAATAATCGAAAGTTCACAGCGATCAGTATAGGATCAGCCAAACACCAACTGCTGTACTGAGTGAGTGTAACTACGGACCCAAGCCACGCCACGCCTCGCCCGGGACGGAAACGTTTGCATAGAAAATGCGCGATATTTGAAAATAATTGGTCAACACGCCGAAATGGCGTCCCGACGGTCGTAAGGTCAGAGCAGGTCGTAAGTACCGATGGACGTAAGTTGAGGCAGTCGTAAGTCGGGGACTACCTGTATATTTAAATAAATCAACATCTTACAAGAATCCCAGCAATGTAAATTATATTCACCCAGGTCATTTCATTGGCTTTTTATTGGAGAGAAGCTTAGTCACTTAAGAACTGATAAATATACACGCGTTAGACCTGGGCTTGTGCCAACTGTCAAAAAGCTCCCCACGCCCCCCAGCCCCTCCCCATCTGCTCAGCGTTGCTGGAATCTTGTAAAACAGTGAATAATTTTAATATAAACATCATGTATTTTGCACGAGATAAAATTAATCACCTGTATCACATTACAGTAGTGATTTAAGAGCAAAAGGTAGAAGGTGCTATAACGAATCTAATTGGTTCTAGAACCTTGTTCGTTATAGCATTTGCTCGTTATAGGATTTATCCGCTCCAGGCCCCCAAATACAACCACTTAACACTGAAAAATTCTGTGGAAATTATAAAAAATACGGTGCTTTATCTTACCTTGTGGTTCAGCAGGACAGGAGGCAGAGGAGGAGGGAGGAGAGAATTATGGAGAAGAGGTGGAAGGAGAGGAGTCATCCTCCCTAGCCTCTTTGGTGACTGTCTACAGGCACTTTGTCTGTTTATTTATAATTTCTTTCTGAGTTTCAAGGGTTATTAGCTTTCACTCGCTTTGACGATTCATTGTTACAATTGTACACTTGTATAACAAAATAGTTATAAAATAACACGAATTTCCACATCAAAAGACAAAATTTCAACAAGTTCAGTGGTGACTGACTACACAATGAACCAATATGGCGCCTGATGTCTGTTATGAGCCGTGGTATAACGATATTCATACGCAGGATGAAATAGTCCCGTATTCATCCGCTTCATTGTAGGAGTTTCTGTTCGTTATAGCATTCTCAATTTTATAGGTAAAACCGCTTCATTATAGGAATATTCGAGTAGAACTGGCCAGCTTAATACCCCACTGTATATGTAATGATATAGTATTCCACATACACGTAAGTATAAAACAAAGTTTGTGATGATCGGACAACGTCCATTTCGTTAACGCCACGCTTCCAAGAACGATCTAGGATATTAACCGCGATGACTGTACTACAGTAAACACACGACCCTGGTCTTATAGCTCAAATAATGAGGAATATAGTACAGTAGTACCTCGATTACGAGTTCAATTGAACCCACAGGGTACCGCGGAAAGTGAAATCCGCGTAAATGGAACAACAGAACATATGAGATTAATTCCAATAGAGACTGGCCCGACCCCAAAACTCCACTTTTTCTGACACAATACCTATGTTGTAGTAAAAATAACATCTAAATTTTATGATGGTGTGCTCACACAATTAATATTTAAGAGAAATACAGTCGCCAGGTTAATGTCCATTCAAATAATAGACTCAAATCCCCCCCCTCCCCCTCTTCCCAGCTCACTGGCCCCTACCTCTCTGAGAAATGATTGGGTGAAACACTAGATTTTAACGTTTAGTAATAAATAATACCTCAGACTAAAGTTAGGATAATATAATTGACATTTCTGGATTCCTTGCAGGTCAGGGAATATTTTGAATGTAAACTTCATATCTTTTGCACAAAAGATTAAATACTTGCTTTGTGTAAACCAAATTATTACATTAGATCTAAAATTTGTATGTCTAATGCAAAATCCATGATGTTTATGTTCAAAATGATCATCATATTGTATGAATTCCAGCAATGTAAATTATATTCTGGCCGGGTAATTTGTATGAATTTTATGAGCTAAATATAAAAAAAAGTTGTACTTCACGCGTATCTGAGTAGATGCACTGCGGAAAGTCTGGCAAGGTACCGCGTAAATGAGAAATCGCGAGTGAAACCGTGTAAAGCAGGGTAATACTGTACTCAGTGGCGTGTCGTGACAAAAATGCTAGGGTAAGCAAATGACGCTTTCTTACTTGTAAAGTCACGAGATCTAAAAGAATTCTTTAGTAGATCACATACAGTCTGTATGTGATCTACTAAAGAATTCTTTTAGATCTCGTGACTTTACAAGTAAGAAAGCGTCATTTGCTTACCCTAGCATTTTTCTCACGACACGCCACTGACTGTACTGTATATTGAAAAATGTGTGGTGAGATTTGCCAGCTTGGAATGCATTCATTCCCCTCTTTATTTACATTAATTCCTATGGGGAAATTGCCCAGATATTCGAAGGTTTATTAATCGTGGTGATTTACTAACCTATCCCTTGTGCTAACTGGGGAATTCCTGTACTTCACAAGAATATCCAATCATTCTACTTGTTTTTACAATTGTTGAGAAGACTAGTCTTTCATTTACACTAGCAAGATATATTCTATATTTGTGATACATAACAAAATTAGTCCTTCTAGAAAATTCCATGCCCTCAAGTTCACTTCTCAAGGCCAACTCTTATTTTTTTTATTTTTTTTTATTTTTTTTACACTTTTGCAATTTAAGTTTATCTGAGAAGAATGACGAAAAAATTTTGTTGGCACAAAACTAATCAAATAATGAACTTGACTGTATCACATTGATTTTTTTTATTTTTAATGGAAGTGAAGGATATGCTCTTTGCATATTTCTGATTTTTTTTTATGTTATTTATAGATTAAGGAAATGCTGCAAGAGAAGAAAGATCAAGCAAACAAACTGGAGAATAAGCTGAAACGTGTGGAGGAAGATATTCTCATGACCAAGAATGAAATTGCAGTGGAGGTAAAAAAGAAAAGAAATGGTGTTATTAATAGTCTTTATAATCATTTATTTATTCTTGGGCTTAGGGATGGATCGACCCCACTATCTACACAAGGTACAGTTATCTCAGGGCCTTGGTAACACTACACAAGGTACAGTTATCTCAGGGCCTTGGTAACACTACACAAGGTACAGTTATCTCTGGGCCGTGGTAACACTACACAAGGTACAGTTATCTCTGGGTCTTGATAACATTACACAAGGTACAGTTATCTCTGGGTCTTGATAACATTACACAAGGTACAGTTATCTCTGGGTTTTGGTAACATTACACAAGATACAGTTATCTCAGGGCCTTGGTAACATTACACAAGGTACAGTTATCTCAGGGCCTTGGTAACACTACACAAGGTACAGTTATCTCTGGGTCTTGATAACACTACACAAGGTACAGTTATCTCTGGGCCGTGGTAACACTACACAAGGTACAGTTATCTCTGGGTCTTGATAACATTACACAAGGTACAGTTATCTCTGGGTCTTGGTAACATTACACAAGGTACAGTTATCTCTGGGTCTTGGTAACATTACACAAGGTACAGTTATCTCTGGGTCTTGGTAACATTACACAAGGTACAGTTATCGCTGGGTCTTGGTAACATTACACAAGGTACAGTTATCTATGGGTCTTGGTAACATTACACAAGGTACAGTTATCGCTGGGTTTTGGTAACACTGCACAAGGTACAGTTATCTCAGGGCCTTGGTAACACTATACAAGGTACAGTTATCTCAGGGCCTTGGTAACAGTACACAAGGTACAGTTATTTCTGGTTCTTGATTACATTACACAAGGTACAGTTATTTCTGGGCATTGGTAACACTACACTAGTTATAGTTATCTCTGGGCGTTGGTAACACTACACAAGGTACAGTTATCTCTGGGCCTTGGTAACACTACACTAGTTATAGTTATCTCTGGACGTTGGTAACACTACACAAGGTACAGTTATCTCTGGGCCTTGGTAACACTACACTAGGTACAGTTATCTCTGAGCGTTGGTAACACTACACAAGGTACAGTTATTTCTGGGTCTTGGTAACACTACACAAGGTACAGTTATCTCTGGGCTTTGGTAACACTACACAAGGTACAGTTATTTCTGGGTCTTGGTAACACTACACAAGGTACAGTTATTTCTGGGTCTTTGTAACACTACACTAGGTACAGTTATTTCTGGGTCTTTGTAACACTACACTAGGTACAGTTATTTCTGGGCCTTGGTAACACTATACTAGTTATAGTTATCTCTGGGCTTCAGTAACACTACACAAGGTACAGTTATTTCTGGGTCTTTGTAACACTACACTAGGTACAGTTATTTCTGGGCCTTGGTAACACTATACTAGATATAGTTATCTCTGGGCTTTAGTAACGCTACACAAGGTACAGTTATTTCTGGGTCTTGGTAACACTACACAAGCTACAGTTATCTCTGGGCCTTGGTAACACAACACAAGGTATAGTTTTCTCTGGGCCTTGGTAACACTACACTAGATACAGTTATCTCTGGGCCTTGGTAACACTACACGAGGTACAGTTATTTCTGGGTCTTGGTAACACTACACTAGGTATAGTTTTCTCTGGGCCTTGGTAACACTACACGAGGTACAGTTATTTCTGGGCCTTGGTAACACTACACTAGGTACAGTTATCTCTGGGCCTTGGTAACACTACACTACGTACAGATATCTCTGGGCCTTGGTAACACTACACTAGGTACAGTTATCTCTGGGCGTTGGTAACACTACACCTCTAGGCACAGTTATATCTGGGCCTTGGTAACACTACACTACATACAGATATCTCTGGGCCTTGGTAACACTACACCATTAGGTACAGTTTTCTCTGGGCGTTGGTAACACTACACCACTAGGTACAGTTATTTCTGGGCCTTGGTAACACTATACTAGATATAGTTATCTCTGGGCCTTGGTAACACTACACAAGGTACATTTATTTCTGGGCCTTGGTAACACTACACTAGATACAGTTATCTCTGGGCCTTGGTAACACTACACTAGGTACAGTTATTTCTGGGTCTTGGTAACACTACACTAGGTATAGTTTTCTCTCGGCCTTCGTAACACTACACTAGGCACTGTTATCTTTGGGCCTTGGTAACACTACACTAGGCACTGTTATCTTTGGGCCTTGGTAACACTACACCTCTAGGCACAGTTATCTTTGGGCCTTGGTAACACTACACCTCTAGGTACAGTTATCTCTGGGCCTTGGTAATACTACACCATTAGGTACAGTTATTTCTGGGCCTTGATAACACTACACTAGGTACAGTTTTCTCTGGGCGTTGGTAACACTACACTAGGTACAGTTATCTCTGGGCCTTGGTAACACTACACCATTAGGTACAATTATCTCTGGGCATTGGTAACACTACACTAGGTACAGTTATCTCTGGGCATTGATAACACTACACTAGGTACAGTTTTCTCTTGGCGTTGGTAACACTACACTAGGTACAGTTATCTCTGGGCATTGGTAACACTACACTAGGTACAGTTTTCTCTGGGCGTTGGTAACACTACACTAGGTACAGTTATCTCTGGGCCTTGGTAACACTACACTAGGTACAGTTATTCATGGGCCTTGGTAACACTACACTAGGTACAGTTATCTCTTGGCCTTGGTAACACTACACTAGGTACAGTTATCTCTGGGAGTTGGTAACACTACACTAGGTACAGTTATTCCTGGGCCTTGGTAACACTACACTAGGTACAGTTATCTCTGGGCCTTGGTAACACTACACTAGGTACAGTTATCTCTGGGAGTTGGTAACACTACACTAGGTACAGTTATCTCTGGGAGTTGGTAACACTACACTAGGTACAGTTATTCCTGGGCCTTGAGAACACTTCACTAGGTACAGTTATCTCTGGGCCTTGATAACATTACACAAGGTACAATTATCTTTGGGCCTTGGTAACTCTACACAAGGTACAATTATCTTGGGGCCTTGGTAACTCTACACAATTTACAGTCATCACCTAGGCCTTGATAACATTACACAAGGTACAGTTATCTTTGGGCCTTGGTAACACTACACCACCAGGCACAGTTATCTTTGGGCCTTGGTAACACTACACCACTAGGCACGTTTATCTTTGGGCCTTGGTGACACTACACAAAGCACAATTATCTTGGGGCCTTGAGAACACTTCACTAGGTACAGTTATCTCTGGGCCTTGGTAACAACACACTAGGTACAGTTATCTCTGGGCCTTGGTAACAATACACTAGGTACAGTTATCTCTGGGTATTGGTAACACTACAGAAGGTACAATTACCTCTGGGCCTTAGTAACACTGCACTAGGTACAGTTATCTCTGGGTATTGGTAACACTACAGAAGGTACAATTACCTCTGGGCCTTAGTAACACTGCACTAGGTACAGTTTTCTCTGGGCCTTGGTAACACTCTACATGGTACAGTTATCTCTGGGCCTTGGTAACACTACACTATTTACAGTTATCTCTTGGTGTTGGTAACACTACACAAGGTATAATTACCTCTGGGCCCTGGTAACACTCTGCAAGGTACAGTTATCTCTGGGCCTTGGTAACACTACACTAGTTATAGTTATCTCTGGGCGTTGGTAACACTACACAAGGTAAATTTATCTCTGGGCCTTGGTAACACTACACTAGGTACAGTTATCTCTGGGCGTTGGTAACACTACACAAGGTACAGTTATTTCTGGGTCTTGGTAACACTACACAAGGTGCAGTTATCTCTGGGCTTTGGTAACACTACACAAGGTACAGTTATTTCTGGGTCTTGGTAACACTACACAAGGTACAGTTATTTCTGGGTCTTTGTAACACTACACTAGGTACAGTTATTTCTGGGCCTTGGTAACACTATACTAGTTATAGTTATCTCTGGGCTTCAGTAACACTACACAAGGTACAGTTATTTCTGGGTCTTTGTAACATTACACTAGGTACAGTTATTTCTGGGCCTTGGTAACACTATACTAGATATAGTTATATCTGGGCTTTAGTAACACTATACAAGGTACAGTTTTCTCTGGGTCTTGGTAACACTACACAAGCTACAGTTATCTCTGGGCCTTGGTAACACTACATAAGGTATAGTTTTCTCTGGGCCTTGGTAACACTACACTAGGTACAGTTATCTCTGGGCCTTGGTAACACTACACTAGGTACAGTTATTTCTGGGTCTTGGTAACACTACACTAGGTTTAGTTTTCTCTCGGCCTTGGTAACACTACACTAGGTACAGTTATCTCTGGGCCTTGGTAACACTACACTAGGTACAGTTATCTCTGGGCCTTGGTAACACTACACTAGGTACAGTTATCTCTGGGCCTTGGTAACACTACACTAGGTACAGTTATCTCTGGGCGTTGGTAACACTACACTAGTGAGGTACAGTTATTCCTGGGCCTTGGTAACACACCTCTAGGCACAGTTATATCTGGGCCTTGATAACACTACGCAAAGTACAGTTATCTCTGGGCCTTGGTAACACTACACCATTAGGTACAGTTATCTCTGGGCCTTGATAACACTACACTAGGTACAGTTTTCTCTGGGCGTGGGTAACACTACACTAGGTACAGTTATCTCTGTGCCTTGGTAACACTACACCATTAGGTACAATTATCTCTGGGCATTGGTAACACTACACTAGGTACAGTTATCTCTGGGCCTTGGTAACACTACACCACTAGGCACAGTTATCTTTGGGCCTTGGTAACACACACACCACTAGGCACGGTTATCTCTGGGCCTTGGTAACACTACACAAGGTACAGTTATCTCTGGGCCTTGATAACACTACACTAGGTACAGTTATTCCTGGGCCTTGGTAACACTACACCTCTAGGCACAGTTATCTTTGGGCCTTGGTAACACTACACAAGGCACAATTATCTTGGGGCCTTGAGAACACTACACAAGGTACATTTATT